TTTCCCGAAGGTTGTGTGTTTATGACAGTCCTAATTTCTCTTACAGTTTGTTCTTATAAAAAATAATCAGTTATGTTGTATATTCTTTGGGATTTAAATTTTTTTGAAAACTAGTTTTTGTTGATGATCTACATAAGTTGATTCAGTGTATAAAATAGTTGCTTATTTTTGGATGCCAAAACTATTGGTAACATGGCTAAATCACTGTTAAGCCACAAGTCCTGGGAGTCATGTTATCATCAGTAATTTTGTCATGACTGGTAATGTAGTTGGTGTTGCATCCCTGAGAAAAGCTTCAGACAAACTGATTCAATGAGAACTTTTTTTTTACGATGCCCCAGCTTTCTTTTTTAATGGTTTTCCACTTTATGTTGTGAATAACCAATCCTGCATGCACGTTTGAAGAGCATGTCGATGCTAAAGAATAGAAGTGATGAATTGATGATCTGCACAGAACACTAATTTTTTCTCTTTTTATTTGCTGTAAGTTTCTTTGATTTGTTTTGGATCTTTTTGCTGCTTTGTATTAAACATAATTTATCCCCCCCCTTTTGTTTAAATGCTTATTTTACACATGTTGTGTCTTTGTAGTAGAAATTTGTCTTTTTTTTTCTGCTTGCTTTCAGAACTAATTATTTGTTTGCTTAACATCTATGTTTCAACCCTATGCACTGTTTCAGTGATTTCTTCAGTCACCAAGAAGTTCCGAAACTCCATAAAAAGTACTCACAGACATTCTACGGAAGTGGGTACCCCAAGAACTTTGTCTTTAAAAAAGCGTAAGTCATGTTGACTTTTTAAGGCTTTGTGCCACAAGAGTATACTGTACATGTTTCCAGACTCACAGAAGTCAGTAGAAATATTTTTCTGATATGTCTCAAATAAATGTTAATCGTATTATTATTGATTTATGTTTACGAATATATATCTAAAGGATCATGCTGTAAGGCTACTAGTAACCCTTCACGTCCTTCGCTTTGAAAAATAATGTGTCAATCTGTTAGAATTATGTTGTTCATAAATCTTATACAATTAAATTTGGAACATCATTTTTAATTAACTTTCAATTGATATGTTTCTACAGTTCCCATGTAAGGTCTAGCAGGTTAGCTCACTTACATAGAATTTTTAATAAAACCTCTTGCTTGCTACCAAGGCTTAAGTTTAATTTAAAACATGTAACCCATGTTGAACTAGTCCATAAATTAATACTTTACCTGGAGATAATCCCACTATAAACATCCATTAAAATGTGAAATTAAACAATGGTTGAAACAGTGTACTCCAGATTTTAGAAAAATGTTTTTATTAACTTTCAGCTTTATTTTACCTTGCCTCATGATTGGTCATTTGAAGGTCGTGAAGCAAACACATGCATGACTTATATTGAACTGTTTTATTTTTGTCTTCATTATGACTAGTTATTAATAGGTAATGAAGCCAATGTACAGGATTTTGTTCACATATTTTATGCACTTGTTAAAAACAGTTACTGCCTTGAACTTGACAACAAACCATACTCACTGTTTGTGCATGTTTATGTACTATACAGTTAGTTTGCAGTGAGATGTGCTGAATACATCCATTATCATCATGCTTTTAGTGGATGGCATGAAATATTATGTAAACCAATTGCTAGTTGCTTTTGTTTGTAAAACCATTTTTGACTTCAGAATTGAGATCTTGGTTGAATTTTTTTGTTGTTGTAGTTTAAGTTTGGTCAAGTTTTGAAGAACATAAGAAGTGGTTATTTTTTACAGATTTCTTAGAAGTACAAGTGCAAAACAGATTTACCCTCATTTATTAAAATCATGGGCATCATGTGCAAGTTTCTTTGCAAGAAATTTGGTTAATTGCCAATTAGTGAACTCCGATTTTGTGTGCTCTCAAAAAAAGAAAGAGTTGAAGTGTCTACTTTGCAAGAAATTTGGTTAATTGCCAATTAGTGAACTCTGATCTTATGTGCTCTCAAAAAAGAAAGAGTTGAAGTGTCTACTTTGCAAGAAATTTGGTTAATTGCCAATTAGTGAACTCTGATCTTGTGTGCTCTCAAAAAAGAAAGAGTTGAAGTGTCTACTTGAGCGACACTCTGTGTCCAAACTGGAAACTCTGAAAAACACAATAATTAAAATAAAATTACATCTTAACTAATCAAGTAGCAAACACCTAGTATCATCCTTAACTGCAATGTACAAGACTAAAAGTACAAAGTTGAACTTGTTGAGACTTTTATATAGTTTCTTGTGAAAAAAAACACTTCTCCTTTTTCTCTGGGCTGGTTTTGAACAACGTCAAAAATACTTGAGTCTACCTATACCACATAAATCACAAGAAGAAGTTTATTGCAGTAAATATTATAATACTAAAAATCAAGTAAACTAAAATCCACATCCATTAAAAATACAGTAATGAAGTAGAAGTGTGGATCAAACTACAGTGACACAGATCTTAATACTGTTGGTAGAGAGAAAAGGAATTTAATATTACTCAACTTCCTTTACAGTATGAATTATATTACTCTGAAAGAATACCCTACTCCTTGGCAAGCCTGGCTAGTTCCATCTAGAAAGCTGTCTTCTGATGCTGCTCCTTGGCAAACCTTGGTAGCTCCATCTATTTGGCCATCATCTGCTATTGCTCTTGGGGTAATCCCTCGGCTCAGCTGTTTTCTGCTGCTGCTCCTTAGCAGGTCTGGCTAGCTTCACCTTTCTAGTTGCCTTCTGGTCAACCATATCTCCTCAGTTGTTTTCTTATGCTGCTCTTTGATGGACCTGGCTAGTTCCATCTGCTCAGTTGTTTTCTGCTGCTACTCCTTGGCAAATCTAGCCAACTCCACATAGTCAGCTGCCTGCTGCTGCTTCTTTTTGGCAAACCTCCCTAGCTCTATCTGCTCAATTGTTTTCTACTGTTGCCTGGCCAGCTTCACATGCCATCTACTGTTGCCTGGCCAGCTCCACATGCCATCTACTGTTGCCTGGCCAGCTCCACATGCCCTCTACTAATGCTCCTTCTCTGTGATTTGTGCCCAAGTTATGATCTAGGTAAAACTGTTGTCAGCAGTTCTTCAAAAACCTTCAACTGAGTGGCAACTGATGGTCTATGATGTCTGATTCCAGATATTCAAGCACAGAAAACACTCACGATAGTCATATCTTGCTGACATTTAGAGGCTTTCTCCCATTTTCAAGTCTTGAGATGATATCTCTAGTTTCTTTTCCCGGTGCTATAGCCTCTTCATTTACATACTTCCTTTTATTTTCTTTGATCCCATCATTCTTTGGAGAGCATGGAGTTCTGTTCTGGAACTTTGGATTTTAAATCTTGGTCTTATTTTAACACACTACCTGTAAGTATCATTTGGTTATAATGAGAATATCTAAAAACGTTTTTAAACTAATTTGAAAACATGTTATAAAACCCATAAATGCTGATTCTGTGAAAAATTAAAAATGCCATGTAACACTTGTCTGTAACTTACATTAATCCATTTTATCCAGCTACGTCTGAGAAATGAGAAAATGAAAATTTATCTATATAGAAAGAAAGTGTTTTGAAATATGTAATTACAATTACCTAGTAAAATTCATGTTTGAATGTTTCAGCCTCTTGGGAAACATGAAACTTCAAAGTATAAACTAAAAATTAAGAATGAATGGTTGTTTTTATATTGAATGTATGCGGGTATAAAATGTAACAAGTCAAGTTTGTATCTGTTTGTAATCTTCAAATTTCATGCTTCTGTTGCACTTGTGCATCAGAACGAGTGTCAACCAAATACCACAATCATTCATTGTTGCTGATTATATATTAGTTCTTTTGGCTTTCTCTCCACCAAAGTTTTTCTTCATTTCTGTCCCCCAGTGGCACAGCAGTATGTCTGCGGACTTACAAAGCTAGAAACAGGGTTTCGTTACCTGTGGTGGGCAGAGCACGGATAACCCATTGTGTTGCTTTGTGCTTAACTTCAAACAAACAATCGTTACCCGTGGTGGACAGAGCACGGATAGCCCATTGTGTTGCTTTGTGCTTAACTTCAAACAAACAATCATTACCCGTGGTAGGCAGAGTACAGATAGCCCATTGTGTTGCTTTGTGCTTAACTTCAAACAAACAATCGTTACCCATGGTGGGCAGAGCACGGATAGCCCATTGTGTTGCTTTGTGCTTAACTTCAAACAAACAATCGTTACCCATGGTGGGCAGAGCACGGATAGCCCATTGTGTTGCTTTGTGCTTAACTTCAAACAAACAATCGTTACCCATGGTGGGCAGAGCACGGATAGCCCATTGTGTTGCTTT